TTTGACGGCGGGATCGATCCCCGCACCGATCACTGTTAACTTCGAAGGGGGCAATGGCGAACCACCGACCTACAAGACATCAACAAACCGTCGCCCTTCCAAAACCCTCACACCCCGAACGTCCTCACCTATCGCATTTGCATGCACAGAGCATCGTGCAGAGCAAGGGTAGCCTCTGTGGCGGTCGTTTGGGAGACGGGTTGCGACGGCTCCTGCAAACCGAGTTCAATGGGGACGGTGTTCCCTTCTCGGCCGTGGTCAAGCAACAAACGCTCGTCAAACGCGACCCCGGCCTCCAACAACAGATTGTGGATGATGCAGACGGTCGTGAATTGTTGCGGAAGGTTATTCATGTTCGTCTTGTGATGACGAAGGAATAACCTCCACATCCCCTTCAGCCGTCCGAACGCTCTTTTTACGACCCCCCTCGTAGTCTTTTGCCGAGTGTCGAAAAGAGCGACATCCCCCGTCTGCTCTGACCCCCCATACCGAACCACAAGCCACGTGCGCGGGGCATAACCGTTGTCCCCCAACAGGTACCCTGTCGTCCTCGCACCACCCGGGCAGAGGATGGGGTCTGCGTTTTAGATGTCACCTCCTTCTGCTCGCCTGAGTAGGGAAGAGTTCCGCAGCACGTGTTGATAGTGGACACAACCAGGATAACCGACGAAGACATTGATGATCCGCATGTCCAGGTCGACGACGACGACCTGCGCCACGACCGAGAATTGCTGCTTACAGTTGAAGTAGTTTTCTGATGGCGCATTTGCAGGCTTATCCACATAGATGTGGGTGCAGTCAATGGCTCCAAAACAATTCGGGGAACCTTTACCGCTGAAAGCTCGGAGGACCTGTAGGAGACGACGACCAGTTGGAATTGCAATCTTGTCTGGATATGCAGCCAATATGGCATTTGTCACATCATTCACAGTCGTGATCCCCGATGACCTCCCAATGCCGAACGACGATGTGCCGCTCTCGAAAGTTTCTCCTGATGCCCACCAGTACAACATGTAAGCCACGATATGGTCGGGTTGCAATGCCTCCCGATAGTGAGTAAGTCTGCACTGAATGAAAGGACTGCAGGCGGCTACTATGTCATTGAACACCGTCCTCGTCATCCGCATTTTGTCATGGAAGTAGTCGTCACTTGCATCGTCGGCGATGGTGAGGTCCCTCCATGTTCCGCCCGTCCTTCTTTTCACCCACCACCTCGGGGTCTCCCTCGGCATCACACCCGCCACGATGGCATTGGACAACAAGAATGGCGCATCCCATAGGCCCGGCGAGGAGTGCACATCCATCAAAGCCTGGGCTATGGCGGCCTCCCGTCTTCCGGTCTGTCTTCCGCTGGCCCGCCGCAGGTCGCTCGCGGTCTACATGTGACAGGAAACTGCGAGCAACGTCGTTCCTAACAGAGACCTTTCCCTTCGCGTCAGCCTCCGCGCCCCAGGCGCATCAGCGATGCCGTCTTCCATCTCCCCTAACGAACCGCAAACACGCAAGCAGCTCACTCGCCAGCTGATGGGCTATGGCGGCCCTCTTCCCAACGCAGCACGAAACACGGATAACGGGAGAGGGCGCTGCCCACGTATGTGCGCCAGAATTAACATTCAGAATTTCGCCGCCGCACGCACCTCTCATATCGTGGGACGCCGCCTTCGCGCGCCCAGTAGTCTGCCCGGCCAAACGGCGAGGGCCCATAAATTGCATGTCCCACGGGCCCGCAACTGCTGGACAACTTTTTGTTCGTCCTACTGCCTCCACGGACGTCCGTGCCCGACAGGCCGACCTTCTGACACCCGGCCCTCCTCGACTGAGATGTAAGGGAGGGTAAGTGTAGGGTCTTCCTCAGGGGTTGTGGAACGAAAAACCAAGTTAGGGTAAATTAATCACCCTCGGCTGGTTAGGGTGCCCTTATGGTGTGCAACCAGGCCCTAGATTGGAGCCTTGTTCCCGTCTGGAAAGGTGGCGACACCCTACAATGCGCAGTGCGCAGATTATCGTCACAGCGGCTGGTCCCACAGGCAACTCGTTCAATGAGACATGAACATGGTGTGGCCTTTGCAGCCTTCTAGAAAAAAAGTCCCACCAGGGGCCTGGTCTTATCAGCAAAGAGGATTGGACTTAAACCACCAGTGCACGCCTCAGATCGGCCGCGGGGACATCCATGTCAACGGCTGAAAAGCGACGTTGGCTGGCCACCGATTTCTTTTTATCGACGGCGCGCCGACCCCGACTTGCTTTTCCAGATAGGCGGCGAGTTTCTTTTCAGCAAGGCAATCTGGACGTGTTTGTGGACTCGTGCAGAGAATTGCGGTCGATCTGCTTTTCTGCTTCTCTGTGTAAAGAATATCCAGATTAATGAACCTAACTCTTTGCTAATATTCTCCCCCCATGGTGAGAGAGTCGAAGCTGTCCCCCATCATACGCGGACAACGGTTGGGAACTGCAGGTGACACTACCAGCCCAACTCGTGCGGGACCCTGCACCTACTGTGTTTCTCTTCTTCTTCTTCTTCTTCTTCTTTTTTTTTCTTTTTTTTTTTGGACTATTTCTCGATTTATGCGTGTCATCCTTG